TTAAATTAAAATCTGAATTTTAATTTGTATCAAATAGGGGCTGAATAATAATTGATTGTTGTTGAAAAGTATATAATGCCTCTACATTTATAGACAAAATTATTTCCTACTTCTATTACTAGTAGAAAACTAATATAAGGGGAATAAAATAAATCAAAATCTTAAAAAAAAAATATGAATCATATTCTAAACAAGAAATAAGAATAAAAAGATGAACCTATAATAATTAGACATTTTACTATAAATATTTAACTTTTATCCTATTTACAATAAAATTGTCCTACATCAATCTCTCCGACTTGAAAAAACTCATCCTCGAGTTTTGTTGAAGAAAAGACTCCTTGATAACTTGTTTGTTTTCAAACTTTGTTGGGACTTGAGGAAATTCTCTTGTCAGTGTAATCGTATTCTATGTTTGTCAAAACAATTAAAATTCATAGCAGTTAAAGTCTGTAAATTCTTGTCAGCTTGTTTCTCCATGAGTTCGCGATTCCTTTCAAGACTTAATGCAGTCAACATCTGCGTGATGTTGTGAAGGGTTTTATTGATTCCTTCTATTCGATGTTCGATTTTTTTTATCCTCTGCTCATCGTCGATGGTTAGGGATTTTAATTTAGCTCGTTGGTTTGGGCTGCCCGTGACTCGGCTTGAAAAAACCCGAGCCAGCTTGGCTCGAGCTTGAGGCTGAGGCCGAACATCCCATGTGGCTCGCCATCTCGAGCTCAAGGGCCTTAAAAAAAAAGATACGGCCTTTTTTTAAGGCATTCAATGCAGCAAAATGCTGCCACAGCAGTTATTAGGGAAACAAAAAACTAGTCTACTTGGGTCGTGCCCGAGCCTCGAGTTTTTGCTCACGAGTTTGCTCGACTCGACTCATTGGCATCTCTATCGGTAGTTAGATTGCCACCTGGACCTTTGTCGGCCATCGGATTAAGGTAATATCCTTGCTCTGATATCAATTTGGTGCAGAAGCATTAATAAAATTCTCGTAATAAAATTTTTAGGATAAAGATATTTGTACAAAATCTTGTTGACAAAATGGTGTACTTACTCTCACAAAATTAGCTGACCCCACGTGAATTTAAAAAATGTTGGCTTGTGATCCCCACCCCCATTGTGAGTAGTGAGTAAGGAAGTTTGTAAAAAAAGTTTGTACATGTAGCATGATCCAAATTTTTATAATAGATAAAAACGATATTTGAATAATCATGTTATGTGTATATTAAATAATAATTGATTGTTGTTGAAAGAGTACAATTGCTCTATATTTATGGAAAAATTATTCCTTACTTCCACTACTATCGGGAAACTAATATAAGAGAACTAAAATAAATCCTAATATAAAAGAGATTAGAAATCCTATTCTAAACTAGAAATAAGAATTAAAGATAAACCTATTACCACTAGATATCTTACTATAGATATCTAACTTTAATCCTATTTGTTGGGTTTTTGATATCCAATAAATCTCGGACAATAATATTAAACAGTGTCGGATTATATTTCATAAGCCGACGCCGATCAGTGAAATATTTATCAACCAATCAACTCATATACTCGACCCGAAAACAACGTGGGCTATTAGTTGCAGTTTAATTGAGTTTAATGTTGCTTTGGCCCAAATCCACTTATAGGAGGGCTTCCTTGTATCTTGGCCCAATTGGTAATATACCTAAAACTATATATATCTCCTCCTTCTTGCAAGAGCCGTGTGTTTTGCCCCTGCTGCGAGAAGAGAGACTTTGGCTACCTCTTGCAATCTTCTTCAAGTTCTTGCATCTTCTTATCTTCTCTTGGCCTTTGTGGCTTGCAAACACCACCATATCATTGTCCCTTAGTGGGTGAGAAAAGGGAATGCAATAATAAGTGGATTGAGGTTGTGGGTTTGTGATTTGGTTGATTGGTTGATATATAGATTGGTAAGTTCGATTTGAGCCCGAAAAATCCACCATTGAAGGTCGTTTCTTCAACACTATTTACAATAGGATTGTCCTACGTCATGTTTATTCATAGGGCATTGTCTTTATGTTTAACCTCCGATGAAGACTCTTCATGTCAGATCTGTTCATTCATATGCAGGTTTTGCATGTATACTTGAACTACTAGCGGAACCCTTTTATATCTTGTCTCGGAACATGCTTCTTCTCAGACCGCAGCTTGTCGTTGAAAGTACAGCTACTCCTTCACGTTGTACAACGACGTATATCCTCATACTGAAGCAATCTAGCATGGTAAATAGTAGATTTACTCTCTTTTAATTTTAATTTTGTGGGTAGTGGCAACTTTTGGAACTGTCAGTAGTAACATTTAGTTTTCAAGCATATCTATATTGTAAGTGTAAAAGCATGGACAAACTTCGCAGGATTTTTTGCTAGAGCGGAGGCATGGGCATGTTGGGTCTTGGATAAAGATGGTCACATTACTTGTCATGAGTTGGGGGCTGGGATTGCTTGGAGCATTATTTGAACTTCTAAACTGAAGTTAGACAGTCAGTTATGAAATTTGTAAAATTATTAATGACTCGGATGAAAGGTCAGAAGCCTACTATTATCATTATTATTATTGGTGTTGCTAGCGTTATCATCATTATAATTGTTGCTACAAATGTGGATAGCTAAATAAGCACTAGGCAGTATCCTTTCTTTTTTCCTTCTTTCAATGTCTTTGGGTGAACGGAGTGGGGTGTCCTGCAACATCTTTATTTGTGCAGCAACTTCCTAGCATGAAAATTTATCATTTGATTTTCAGGAGAAAGATATTGTATTTGCCTTGTCGCAAGTTGCATATGGACTTCAATATTCTTAGGTTATTGGGGATATTTTCTTTTTCGTGTATCTGAAACTTTTGAACTTTTCCTGTCAGGTATTACCTTTTTTCAACCCCCGATTGTTATCTTTTCAACTTTAAACGAGACACACTTTACTACAAACAGAAATTCTGAGAAAAAAGTACTTATTTCATGAACATTGCAGTATTAGCAGTAAAAAGAGTGTATAGGAACTTTTTGTTGATTTTTCTTATGCTTGGTGAACCTCGAGATATCTTGTCAGTCTTCTTTGGTCCCCCTTTCAGATGGCCTTATCATCTAGTGATGGAGTTTGTTCTATATCATCAATTTCTTAAGTAATATGCTTCTTTTTATGCTTTTAATGGTACTGAATACTGAAAAACAACTGATATGCACAGCATCAGAAACCTGATGGATTATGATATGCCGCTAGCAAATATGTGTAAGTTGTTCACTCTTCAAACCATTCGGAAGTTGACTCTTCAGGAAGGAGAAAAGATGGTACTTGTATGGTTGGATACACCATATAATCAAGCAGTATATGGAGTCGTAGAGAAACTAGGTTGGTCTTTCATTAATATACTATTTGCTAATAGTTAATACATTGCTTCACAAGATAGCGTGTTTCCATGAGAAAGATGCAATTATTTGGAGCTGTGTGAGTTCAACTGTTCTAGCATGCAATTCGATTTTCAGTTTGAAACTTAAAAATTTACTAAAGGGGGTGTATTCAATTGAGACTTTTGAAGATTTTGATGGAATTTTTTTAAGTGATGACTTTTGTGGATTTCGTGGATCTTTTATAGATTTATATGGAATTAGTGGAAGTTTTTCGTAGACTTCTATGGATTTTCATTTTAAAACTTTTATAGATTTTCGTGGAATTCAAAAGATTTTTGAAAACTTTCATTTGAAATAGAATTCACGTAGATCTGATGTGAAATTCTCACATATAGGGTGTTAATTCCCACAATTCCCCTTCTTCTTCTCATATAATAAAAAAAAATTTGAAAAACATAAATTTAAGACCTTAATTAAATAAATAATAATCAAAATTATATATGATTCAATATTATTAGTATAGTAACTTTTAAAAATAAGTAAAAATCAATATATTTAAATTTAATTATAATTTTTCATATAAAATTTTATAATTTAACTAAAAAATAGAAATTTTTCACAAAAAAAAAAAAAAAATTTGAATGGAAAAAGAAAAAAAGTTACAAGAATCTAATTTAATTTTTCATAGAAAATATAGATAAATAATAAGAGAGAGAGAGAGAGAGAGATAAATGAAATATAATCAACTAAAAAAATAAATTTTAATCATAAATGTCCATAGAAGGTTAAAGGAAAGAAAATTTGATTTTTTTATTTTTTTGGTAAAGTCTCCCAAAATCTCGTGATTAATGAGAGATAAATTTTAAAATTTTAAATGAGTACTTTTTGCTTAAAAGTCAGTACTCTAGAGACTTTTATAAAAGTCTCTAGAAGTCATTAAAATTTGAATACCTTAAGACTTATAGAAATTTCTAAAAAATTTTAATTAAATACACCGTAACTTTTAGAGACTTTTTTAAAAGTTTTTAAAAGTCTCAATTGAATACACCGTGACTTTTAGAGAGTCTTAAAAAGTCTCAATTGAATACCCTGAACTTTTTAAATCTCAAAAAGTTATTAAAAGTCTCAATTGAATATACCTCCCTAAATATGCTAATTGCTAAATTAAATCAAGTCAATGTTTCAAAGAGCTTAGTGGTTAGGCTGGTGTTTCTTCCCTTCGAGGAAAGTTCATATGCCACATTTGCAAGGTCTGCATCAGGTTTATCCCTCTTCTTCTTTGTTCTCTTGATTCCAAGATTGGTCTGCTCAAATAAGCCACCATCTTGAGGGAGCTTGTTAAGCAGCGACGAATCCAAGATCCAAGTCCAGCAAGGGTGGGTTGATCATTAACCATTGACTGTTGACCGTCGACGATCGCAATAGTCCGATATTACGATCAATTACAATTGATTAAAAAAAAAAACCAAGTACACACGGGTTGAATTGAGCGGCCAACATCTTCTCAATTAAATTCTTTCACCTTGACTAATTTTCTAAACGTAAATTCTCAAATCAATAATCATAACTCACAAAACATAAATTACTTATCATAAATCACAATTCACAACATAATTTCGTAAACATTAATTCTCAAATCAATAATCATTCCTTATCAAAACATAAATTACTTATCATAAATCACGAATGCAAATATAATTTCGTAAACATAAATTTCCAAATCAACAATCATAACTCATAAAACGTAAATTACTTATCATAATTCATGAATCACAATTCGCAATTTTTTAATTCCCAAATGAATAAATCACAACATATTTAACATCAACTGATCAATTTAAGTCATTGACCTGAGGAAGGAATCCTTTGGCATTAATATTGGCTCCAAGTCTCCAACCAGTGAACCAGAGAACTTGCTCGCCAAGTGGACAAAGAATTATGCGATTCTGCTCCAATTTCATGCCAAATTGATACCCTTAATCTATTAAACATGGTGTTGAGCAGTTAGCACCTACAAATTACAATACAATAAAATTAAATTTGCCAATTTAGTAGTTAGCACATACAAACAGGCAATCATATAATTCATACCTTGTGAAAATTTTCATTTAAAAAATGGAAGCACTCACATAATATATGGCACTGTTCAATTATTTAATTATATCCCTCACCCTCAGTCCAATATTTGAGGAATATAATAATAAACAGAAGTAAATTATGAAGATAACTCGAATTGTAGTAATCTTGTTTTTAATTAAATTTTGTACTTTTAAATTTTAAGCCACCCTATTTATTAATTATACAATATTTTATGGCTTATTGGATAATTAATTAGTATATCAACAGACAACACAACAATATACCTATCTTTACTCCAAAACTCAAAAAGATGAAAGATTTTCAGAATGAAGTCAAAAGTCATGTTAGAAAAACAGTTAGAAATCAGGGGCGAACCGACGGTGGCAAAGGAAGAAGTGTCTCACACTACAGCCTGCAGGGCAGGGGCGAAATCGGCGATCTCCGACACTGTCGTGTCTCGTCACTTGTGTGCAGCGTCGTGTAGGCAGGGGCGAGCGGCGAAGGAAGAATTGAAGAAATTGGAAAAGGGTTTTCTTCCAGCCTTCCACCATTCCACGATTTGGGAGAAATGGGAGTTATTTGGGCATTTGATTCAATTTTATTGGGTAATTGGACTTTGATAAATTGGTTTATTTTTATTTAACAATTGGACTAACAATAAGAGGCCCAACATTTGAACCCCGCCCAAACAAAAAAATAAAATAAAATTTGCCGTCTTCTCTTCGTCTTCTTCCTTCTCCAGCAACAATCGGACTCCGGTACATCTGCAACTGGCGCTACTCGACGGATCTGAAGATTTCGACGGAGCCAGCACGTGCGGCGGAGCACCCTCGCTGGGTACTGGCTCCGCACCTTCTGTTAAGGGTTATCCCACATCAGTTTAATACCGAAATAAATACCAATTTATAAAGATCTTGAGTTTCTCCATTTAATAAGATTGACCTTATTAAGATGACCTCCTAATTTTAACATGATATTAGAGCTCATTAAACTCCAACGAGCGATTCAATCCGATTATAAGTCTCAATTAATGAGCAACGGATTGCAAGATTGGTCTGCTCAAATGAGCCACCATCTTGTGGAGGCGTGTTAAGGGATAAAAATCTCACTTGGTTAAATACCGAAATATTGACCAACTTAAAAAGATTTTGGGCTACTCCTCTTAATAAGATTGACCTTATTAATGTTAAGGGATAAAAATCTCACATCGGTTAAATACCGAAATATTGACTAATTTAAAAAGATTTTGGACTACTCCTCTTAACAAGGTTGATCTTATTAAGATGGACCCCCAAATCTTAATATGGTATCACAGCTCATTAAACTCCAACGAGCGATTCGATCGGATTATAAATCTCAATTAATAAGCAAAGGATTACAAGATTGGTCTGCTCAAACGAGCCACCATCTTTTGGGAGCGTGTTAAGGGTAAAAATCTCACATCGATTAAATACTGAAACATTGACCAATTTAATTTAAAAGATCTTGGGCTACTTCTTTTAATAAGTTTGTCCTTATTAAGATAGACCCCCAAGTCTTAACATACATTACTTTTCGATTTTCCTACATTGAGAGTAACTTAGGTAGAGGACTTCCCTCAAGATTCGTACATGAATTATTCCTTCTTAGTATTTTTTTCACTGCATGCTTCCTATATGTGTTTTTTGAAGACAGGAATATGCAATTTATGATTGTTTATTATATCTCTGGATGGATCTAGCAATGAACTGAATGGAGTGGTAAAAGTGATTCATGTAGGACTCCTAATTTTTTGGGATCAAAGCTTAATTTGTTGGTGCTGCTTAAATGTGTTTCCATTTATCTGATTGTGATTGTCCACGGGTCCAATCCTCTGACATTTTTCTCTAAAACTGAGGACGTGTCAGCATACTAGTTATTTGTACTTGATGTCATAGAAATGGTAGAATTGGGTTACAAGTGCAAACGAATTCATACTTTTCATCCTTTGAATATCTGTACTGTACAATTTCACGCTCTTTTGCTCAGGCAAGCTATATGCTTTGGTGATACTGCAATTATATTTCTTTAATTACCACGATTTAAGTCTTACATTCCACCAATATTCAGCTAGGCTTACATTCTTTGATCTATAAGAATCAAGTAACTCGTCACCACTTGTCTGTGCTTGTTTTCTTATGTAGTTCTTCTAGTCATTTAAGGCCATATATTGGTGAATAGTAAGAACTATATCACTGATACTATGTTTTGTATAATAGGATTATCAAAAGTTTTTAGGTTTTATTTTTTCAGTACGACTTTTATCATTTCTTCATTCCTTTTGGCAGGAGACAATAAAGAGAGAAGCAGGAAGCTTGGAAGGTGTCTTACAGATGCTCTGAAACTTGTTTTGCTAATAGGTACTCTACTTTTGGTGCAATTTATATCTAAATGAATAATAAACACAATAATAAACTTGATATCAATTTCTTGAAAACATAATGTTACTCCCCTGAATTGATTTTGATCACTTTAGTCTCGCTCAAAAGTACTTAAGCCCGTGGAGCTACAAGCTGAGTTAATTTGATCTTGAAACTAATGCAACACATTTCAGAGAATATTCAGTGAGGTGCTAGTGATAAAGAATTTTTAGCTACTGGACTGTAATTTGTCACTAGCTGTTTTAGCTGCTTGTACTTAGAAAACCTAAAGCTTTCTTTACCCGAATTCAATTAACATCGTAGTCTGATTTAAGGTTCTCAAAATCATTCTGATTCCAAATCTTTAATCCATAATTGTGGTCTGATAATCGTGGAAAACACAGTTTTTCCATAAAAACACAGTTTCTATTTTATTTTATTTTTTGATATTTCCAAAACCTAGTCTAGCGGGTGAGGACATATTAAAATCCATTCAAGTTCAACACTTCTATATTCTTTTGTTTCTAGTACGGAAACCAAACATAGAGAGGGAAAACATTAGGATGTAACCCTGAGGGATAACTTAGTGGTTCGATTTTGGATTTGCTCTCCAATGGTTACCAGTTCGAATCCCTTCAAGGCCACTGAGCTGAGTACCCGACTGTAAATTTCAAGGATTTGTGGGATTAGTCAAGGTGAGCATGAGCTGGTCCAGACGCCCATACTTAAAAAAAAAAAAAAAAAAAACTTTAGGGTGTGTTTCTTCTGTTGGCATGTGGATCTTGGAATGGATCTCATTGCCACAACTACAATACCCATTTCGGCTCTCGATTTTTAAAAAAATGTTGAAAAAGATAGATGATTGCTATCGAAACAAATTGCTCACATAATGCAGATACCTCAAACCCATGCTTCATTGTAGTTATTAGGCAGGGAATGTAATTTAAATGTAAATGAAAATTAAAAGATACTATTAACAGTGTAATTAATAGGAAAAACTTCATCCATGGTATTGGCGAAATACAGTGAAGAGGTCCCAAGTTAAGTGTTATCTGACCTTATGTTTATATAGAGCATAAGTGTGATATGGCTTTCTTCTATGTCATTTTGTTCTAGAATTTTTTGACATTTGAAGTGCATATCCTAACCTTGAAGAAGTTATCCTAAAAGATTTGTGTAGCTTATCCTGTTATTTTGATTGTGTCGGCCTGGTGGTTATTGCATTTGGTCCAATCTATTCTTACTCTCTCATCAGAATATTTTATGGTAGGAAATGGAGATGCTTCAACAATCCTACGATATTATTGCCTTATGTAACAGTTTTGGCCATGAATGGTAAGTGAAGCTAAATGTCAAATTATTCCTATTATTTATTTATTTAGCTCTCGTTTGACCCCTATTAAATTAATTTTTATTTCTCTCCCTTTCATTTTTAACCACACAATCTTTTATAAAATAATATTACACATAAATAAAAAAATTTTCCTTCTTTTTCAACTATTTATTCTTCAAAAAAAATATTATTCCACCCATTAAAATTTAAAATAATGGGGGCCAAATTGGGGCTTTCCACGGGAACAATTGCATGTTTACAGTTTTTCTAGCATCTGTTTTTATCCTCCTATTTAAGTTCTATATGGTACTTTGTCTTATTCTATATTCATGACAAGATAATAATACTAAGAAACTCCAATTAGTTCAGCAGTAGCTAGTGATGTCAATGGCCCGAGTCGACTGGGCTCGGCCCTTAACCTCATGAGCTTGGCTTGGGCAGGTGGCGAGCCGAGCTCAAGCTCTGCTCGTTGATTTTGGACGAGCTCGTGGGCTGAGCCGAGATTTGACTTGCGAGCTCGTAAATTTTTTTTTTTGTTAAATATAGAAAAACACAAATAATTGAATAAAGACATTTAAAAAAAAAATAAAAGTGTTAAAAAAATACAAATAATTTAATGAAGATACTTTTTTTTTCTATCATATTGTAATATTTTTTATAAAGTATAAAATATTTATGTAATGAAGACAAAATATTTTTTGAAATACATTTACAAAAAATACATTTTTTTCAATTTTTTTTAAAGTAGATAAAATGGAAACCCTTTTCCTTTATCCGGGCTTGGGACCAGCTACATAAATTTTAAGTAGGTGGAGTTAAAAATTGTACACAAACAATTTATTGTAACGTGTACAATTTTTTAAAGAATATTAAATTTAACGATTAAAAAATAAGCAAATTTTGATTAATATAATTAAATCAAATATCACTTACCTGATGACATGCAATTTCAGCGTATTTATCTTATAGTCGAAAATGAGCTTTCTGCCAATCCTTCATGCACATTAACGTTTTCAAAACATCTTCTTTCAGTCGGCTTCTGACATCAGTCAAAACCCTTTTACATGCACTAAAAGCAGACTCCAAAACAACAGTGCTAACCGGAGGTGTCAGCAGATCTTTCGTAATTGCAGTAACAATTGACCAACGTCTTTCATACTTTCACGAGAATTCAATTACTTCTTTTGAACTTTTTTTAATTGTTTTGTCTGTTGGCATATTATAATTGAAATAATCAATTAATTCGACATGCATCGCATTTTGAGTTGCAATTGATATTTGATGAGATGCAAATATAAACGACATAGCACTAGATGAACACATTGGGATTTCATCATATCTAAATGTATTAATGCCTTGAAATAAATTCATTATTTCGACATCATCTTCTTAAATTTCAGCCGAAAGAGTATGTGCAAAGGGTACCAAATTAACATTCGCACCCATTCTTTCTGTATATAAATCATATATTCCATATAATATTTGCTCTAAATTCTTATAGGTGAAAGGTGTATCAAGTATTAAGGCTTTATTGATTTGATGAATTATGTATTTAGTTCTGAAATATTATATAGGGGTCCATTGTGCATACTAAAGGAAATAACATAGGTAGTCCTTCCTAATATTTTCTAAACTTTAATTCCATAGCAATTATAATTTCACTAAAATCAGGATCACTTTTATATTTATTGAATGTTTTTGCAATTATATAAAGGCGTTCAAGCACCATAGAGCTTGTGGAGTAATAAACACCCGGTAAAATCTTTGTTGTCTTATAAACAGATGTCAAAAATAATTTAACTTTCAAAGCTAAAACCCTATCGGATTCGTTCAACATACCATCATCATCGCTTTTAACGTGTCTATTGTTATAAAAGTCAGCTATTAAATGTTCAAAACTTTCAC